CCACCAGGGAAAGCTGGGAAAAAGGAAGGAAAAAGACTTTGCTGTGGGTGTCTTTAGTATTACTCAGATTTCTAGAGATGCTCTGTCTGCAAATGGTTTCTGTGGAAGTAAATTTCCGATCACAGGTGAAATTCTACAGGCGGAGTTCCCCAAAGGGAACCCATGATGGACGTTTCCTTCTTGTAAGCCTCCACCCATAGGGCTGAAATTATCCCTGAAGTAACTCTACTGATGTTGTTAATACTACACGAGGGATCAATTTCCCTTACCTCATTTGTTTCACTTTTAAAGCCAAAAAGGCCAGGCCAGTCACTCCAAGAGAGTAAACCACCTTATTTCCATTTCCACCTGTGCAGTTACAGCAATTCAGAGCCAGCTAAGAACTTGTCCACTGTTTGTAATGGTGAGTTACATTTTATGGTCAATGTGAGATGATTTTCTAGTGAAGGGTGTTGACGATAGTCAACAAATAGTCCCAACCAGTTTAGAGCCAGATTCGGGTTACCTGGGTTGGGTTACTGGGGGTTGAAGATATATAGAACCCTCTCCAGCTTAAGTATATTAATAGCTGTTGAGTACAAGAGACAGGAGGTTGTGATGGCATGCGTATTGCCCACAGTGCTTGAGATGTATCATTTCTAGGTTGGCTAATAATGATCAAAGGTCTCACCCCTCCCAGACAGCTGGTAACTGTCTAAGGCTGCGTTAGAGGCAAGTTTTCAGGCATGGAATACATACTACTGCCCTTTAAGTCCTGAGAACTACCATTTCTGAGTTAGCCAGAGCCTGCGGTGCAGTAAATCCAGAAGCTGTCACTTCTGTGATATGTTCCCTATACTTTCCATCAAGTGCCGCTGACCTTCATGCCCACAGAACCACTTTTGCAAAGCAGCGCAGAGGCTTCCATGCTCTGTTTTACATTGCCCACGTGATTTATGAGTGGAAATCTTGTAAAAATGGAATTTCAGCTGCATTTCCTTCACTGACAGGTTGGCAAACATCTTATAAATCACAATGCTAGTGCCAAAATCCCTGCCAGTGATCAACAGATGTTATCAAGCTTTGATAGCCTCCAAAACCAAGTTCAGAAACTTGTTCTAATTTATTATTAACTTGCTATTAGAAAATGTCATTGAAAGAACAATATTCGGTGCAGTGCCAAGTACACAAAGCATCTGCAACACCTGCAAATAAATTATATCTTGTGATAATCTAAAAGTACGTATTTCTTATTGTACCCTGGGAAGAATGGGGAAAGTAACTTGATTATAAAACCACCACAAATCCTGTGCACCATGTAATCAACCTCATTTTATGCACTGACTTTCTTCACATCTGTGCAAATAAAGCCATTGTTAAAGTGTACAAAGAGCTGTGGCATATAATACACGCAGCTATGAAACCATAAGTAATGCTACGCGTTGAGTCTTTAAATGGAAGGTGGCACATCTGCTTTTGGCATAGGAGTGTAAATCAATCCAAGATGTTTATTAAAGAGTAAGTAACAACCTGTCCACGTGCTCTTTCCTCCATCCAGCCTTGTTTTTGTTCTTTCTTTGTTATATTCCTGGCAGTTAAATACAGGCTCTGCACATTGAAAGTATGTGTTGTTCCTTCACGTATGGATAACATAACATGTCACATAATATTTAACAAGTATGTGATGGGGAATGGTTTGGACAAAAATGCGAGCCAAAATGAGGAGGAAAGGGTAAGTACAAACAGCTATACCACAGTGACTGAAAAGTTTATTACCCTGGATAAGGCAACTATGTTTCTTAATACTTTTCAAATTAATAATAAGACCTAGATTTGATTTCATGTTCTAGCTCTTGGCAATTAGAGAGCAAAATTTGCAACAGTGAAGGATGGTGACGATTTTCTTCCTCATCAACCAGAGACATAAGCAAGCATTAAAAAAATGCAGGAGTCAACACAGTTTTACTTTGTATTTACTGAAAGTATGTTTACCTTCCACAACCAGGTCAGTCTGAGCAGGACTGGTTAGGAGCCTAAGTCTTTCAGCACTTGCATGGGTTGACCGGCATGAAAGACAACACGATATTGGCACTAGTCAATATTGGCAACGGAGGTTGGCCCTTTCTGGAGCAATTGCTGATGTATTTGGCATAGCTTGTAACATGTTCCTCTCCCACTGACTGAGGAGCTCCAGGGTCTGCTGTATGAACAGCAGTCCAAGGACAACAATAGCCTCGGTGGGCAGCCACTTTTGTGGGCTACCTGCATGAAGCAGCACTGAAGAGACTGGAAGTGGAGAAGAAAGCAGCACCTCTAGGCCTGAGGGTAGAGCCTGGGACATGCAGTGCTCCTTCCTCTTCCATCAAAGGATGCACAGGAATGTCTCCTAGGATGCCTGGGGAGAGGGACTCCCCCACAGCTAGGCAGGAGGGAGCAACCCGTTCTGTGTCCTAGTGAAGGGCCTACTTTGTAGCATGCTTTTTAGTAACCACTGGTAGAAATGAAATACCTTGGATGTGGTCTTCCTGACTTCCAGGTGGGGAGGTGATAAGAAAATTATGCTCTTCTTCAAGCGCATTTAGGAAACGAGACATGTTCTCTGAGATACTGAAGGGCTCATTGATTGGAAAGACAATCTCTCTTTTGTATGCTGGCAGTGCTTTCCTGGCTCATTTTTAAGAGACAAGTTTGGAAATCAGACTGGTTGACACATGACAGTTCAGGAAGGCTCGTTGTGCAGAACGGGGGATGGTTGTGAAAAAGCTTCAACAGAGACGTCCATGCTGGACAGGGAATAGAGGCTGCTGGAAGTGTGCCACCCAGTGTTTTCTACTTGCACATTTAATTGACTAGACTGACCAGACATTTTCTGTAATTGCTAATTTCTTCTTTGTTAAAATGGTCAGGATATATTCAAAGGCCAGATTCCACATGCCTATGTTTCAGTGATAATGTTACCTATCCGCTCTGTCCCAAAAGTAGCTAAGATTGCTGTAAATTTGTTAATTGGGTCTCTTTTCATCTGTAGCTGAAACATAGCTGCACAAGAGACCCAGGTGGATTTGCTCAGCAACACAGAACATACCAGGACAGAATTTATACAGCAGTTACCACTGCAGGCTAGAATTATCTTGATCAGAGTTGTTACAGCATCCATTAAAATATTTTAGCCAGGGCAAAAATACTAATTCAATTAAATCAAAATACTTGGGTACATCAGAAAAGTGAAAAAAGAAAAAGGCCAGTAATACTTTCTCTCATTTGTTCCACACACTCTTAGGTTTCTCCTTTTCTTTTATTTTCTTTTCTTCCATATGCCTGCTAATGGGACTCTGTGGAACTGAACCTCTTGCAAGACACTGGTGCCAGCTTTTTGCAGAGTTTCTCGGACAGGTCTCTTCATTTCCATTTTATTTTGTCTTCCTATGGCTGACACATATTGTTATTTAAATGAATCCTTTTGAACTCAGATTTTTTTAATGCAAATGTGTACTGCTTCCCTATTGAATTGAAAACATCAACACTTTTCTTTCCCCTATGAAAAACAGGATAAAGAGCAATATTCTCAGGGCTGAAGGTGGGTTGGGACATTACTTTTCTGTGAATTTAAGCCAAAAAAGGGAGACACACACAATGGTGAAGTATCAAAATATTGGCTAAATCTCCCTTCTACCCAAGATATGATTAAAGCAGTATTGTATCTTCTAAAGAACAGCTGAGGTAGGGTAGGTGCCAAGACACAGCAGACTGGTCACACTACCTCAAGGCATTCTGTATAAGACAGTTAGGGGAGTGCACAGAAGTGCCAGACACTACATGCCTCCAGCAATTTTAAGGTGCTTTATCCAGTCTCACTGTACTCATTTTAGTTTGCAAGTAGGTGTCCTCTCATTTTTATTTCAAATTTTTTGAGAGCCGTTTACCAGGAACCATAGGCTGAACTTACAGAAGTTCTTATAGGGAAGTAAAGGGGAAGAAGGCAAAAAAAGACCAAATCCCTGGCTCCCTTAAGAATATACTGCATTCACCTCTTCAGGGTGGGGGTTTTTTTACCCCTAATGTCTAGAAATGTACTTTTTAACAGAAGGTGAATGTGGAAGTTCTCCAGTAATCACATGCCTTCTGGAGCTGGAGCTTTCTGCTCATCAGATACTACAAGAAATGCAAAAAACACATCCCATGCCCCCAGTGTCAAAAGGATTGGTAACACCTGAGTTACATCCATACTTGATCTCTGCCAGACCAAGAGGCATGTGACGCTGGAGCATGTGGACTGTCTCACCCCTTTTCCCATTGGACAATCATCCATCTTGCAGCAAAAAATGCCACAGTCCTTGCCCACTAGCACCCGTGCCAGCAATATTAGCAAACAGACCTCAGAGGCTGAGCTCCCCTTTTAATCACAGGAGTCATTGTTTTCTTTCAGTGTCAGTAGTTGTTGTTCCAGGCCAGGCTTTCTACATGTTATCCCTGGACTATTGAAAACTTGAAGTGCTGCTTCCTCTGCAATACCAAATTTATGGATGAGGAGACAACTCCAGTCTGCCAGGTGATAATTTGGCATCCTTATGTCAGTGTTAAAATCCCTACAGCTGTAAATATTTATTGAAAATGAAATATACTCATATACTCCAGCTAGCATATTAGCATATGAATAAATCCAGCCTTAGATAAATCATGCGCAGTCCATCTTTTATTCAGTTTATAAAATTCTTGCTTCTTGCTCTGAGCATTCTTAGCTTAATATGGCTATTCAGAAGTGAAGCGATTTGTGGTGTGCCTTGATTTCTCTTGTAATACAACATTTTGCTTCCTATATTTCACCTCTAACAGCTTTTGCAAAGTTTTGATTTGATAGGACAAGAACAGTGAGGGCATTAGGACCAAGAGAAAGACGCACACATTGCTCTGTATTATGTCTGGCAAAGTGCTTCCTGACTGAGTGCTGTAGTTATGTGTGAAACAAAGTCAGGGACCGACTAGTCCTCATCTGTTGATCACAGTTAACTTGAAGCCTCTGAACGGGGGAGAGCTGTCAGATCTGTTTTCAGAGATAAGGCACTTCAATCCAGGCAGCAACTGGAAACTTTGAAGAAGCAAGAACTACCCTGGAAGGACACTATAAGAAACGGGATTTCTTTTTACTTAGAATTTAAAAGGGAAAAAATCAAAACTTTAGTTACTCTCTTCATCTGCTAAACCTGCGCTTTCCTAACTAAGCTGGGACTCTGTCTAATAAGGGATCTACTTTATCTCTCTGGATCCATGCTACCTTTTACTACAGTAAGTGCAATATTAATAGGACTGTTATATTTTGTCTGTAAATAGAGAGGAAAGCATGAAACGGCATCAGTGAAATGTGAGGGGAGCAAAAAAAACCGTCTTGGCAGATAGCGAAAACCAGGGCTTTGCTGCAACCCGAGGACTGGAGTCTGAGAAAGATCCAAGTGATATTTAACATGACCATCTGTATCGTTTTGTCACCAACAGTATGTTCTTGAGGAAGAAGTGCAGATATGGATCACGCAAGCTGCAGTTTCTCTTGTTGTTGCTGATGCTGGGCTTTTTGCTACTGATGGTTACGATGCTGAATCCACCACCCAGCAACCAGAGCAAGGAAGGGACTTTCCAGCCTGTGGAGTTCAACCCCCGGGAAGGGTATCAGATGGACTTTGCGGAGACCCAAGAGATGCTGGAGACCCAGGAGGAGAGCCAGCAGTATTACCCTCTGGATGGGCTATCACCTTTCATCTCCCTGCGGGAGGACGAGTTGATCGTGGCCGTCGTGTCGCCCACCGGCAAAAGGAACCACAGCAGGGCCAGGAAGGGCTACCGGGTGGTGAAGCAGCAGAGCCGGCGGCCGGAGGCGAGGGCGGAGGGGGACGCCGAGCCCCAGCTCCTGCCCCTTCCCCTGCAGCCTGGGGCAGGGGCTGCCGCGGGGGAGCGGCCGCTCGGCCTGGAAACCCACGGCTTTAACGAAGCGCTCAGCGAGCGGCTCTCCCTGCGCAGGGAGCTGCCTGAGGTACGACACCCGTTGTAAGTAAAACAGCCTCTTTCATCTCCGGGAGGAAACTCCTTCTCTTTCCCCGTCGCCGTCTCCCCCCTCGAAACCCCGCGACTTCCCTATCAAACTCTCCCCACCGCTTCGGGATAACGTTTTTTCCCCACGCGTGCGTGTGTGTGTAACACACACACACACAGCCCCACCACCTCCAACC